ATGGGAAGATGATGATGTGGTTGCCTTTCAGTATTCTCTCACAAACCTTAAGATATACAGCCTTGTTGCACATTGATTAATAGAGTATTCAGAAAAGCCAGTGTCTGTGCAGGGCATCTGACTTCTTTGTGATTGAATGGTAAGAACCACAATGCTTCCAGGGAGTTGGAGCCTCCCCCCCCCCTCTTAAGTTTAGATCGCTGAAAAGAGTTGATGACCAATAGGTGCCAATGTTTGGCCATCCTAAACACATAATAAATATCTATGGAGTTATCTGTGATTGTGCCTCCAGCATTTTCCAAATCTGGTCACAGGGCACAATGACACTTCATGTAAAACATGAGCCAACCATCAAGATGGCAGTCCGATGGGTGACGTCGGTGGTGTCCATCGGCCAGTGGGAAAGACCTCTGTGTGGGCAATAGGGCTTCCACTTCCTCTCCTTCCCCTTTCATCCCTTCCCCAAATCTGACCTGGAAGGTGTTGTTGCCTGAGCAGAATAATAATAATAATAATAATAATAATTATTATTATTATTATTTATACCCCACCCATCTGGCTGGGTTTCCCCAGCCACTCTGGGTGATGTTGGATATCCCAGTGCCAAGCTCTTCCCGCTTTCTTCATTTAAGTTATGTAATTCCCTATCTCTTGACATAATATTGGCTTCTAGACATATTCATGTCAAGGAAAGGAGTGTTTTACTATACACTGTAGAGCACAGGGAAAGAAAGAGCTCAACACGGAGCTGTCAGTCAATCTCATAAATATAACTCTGTCCTAAAATAGTAATAGATCTTTGAAAAAGTCAGGTGAAAGAACAGACACACTGCATAAATTCTGGTCCAGTTACAGGGCTATAGATTCTGGCCCAGTTCAAGCAGCTACTTTTTACCTGGACCCAAGTCAATATTCTTTGCACTGAAGTGGAACAAAAACTTCTGTATGGAACAATGTTGAACTGCAATGAGGCTGAAGTAACACAAACTGATTTATTTTATTTTTTTAAAAAAGATCATCATCTTGAAACAGTTAAAAAGCACATAAGGAGGATTATGCCTTGCAGTAAGGAGCTGGTTCAAGAGTTTCTCTTAGGATAGATTAAAAATAGATATGCATACACATATGCCCATATTTGTCAAGTTAATTGTAGATAATCTGTATTAATCTATAAAATCCAGCACACTTTTACACGCACGCAGCACTTCAACAGCTCAGGGATCCTGTAGAGTGTATTTGGTGTGTGTGCTTTCTTCACCCCTTTGCAAGCAAAAATCAAAGGCGACGGTGGAATTCTCAAGGGGTTGCTTTCTAGTGTGTTTTTTCTAATGCTTCCGACAAATTATGTTGGCCACATTCTGAGTTCCGTGCTTGCCCGAGTGATCCAAATGCCACTGTTGGAGCAAAACATGGTTGAATTCCTAATCCCTACCAAGTGCTTTGGTTCTGTTTTTTAAATACCAGCTAAACTGAAACGCAGGAGGGGGAAGTAACAAAGGAAGGCTTCTAAAGGTTGAAGCCGCACAATTGGGTTCTTACCCTTTCCCTTACCTTTAGCTGAAAACATCCTAGTTAACTTGAAACAATAAACTGAAATGTTTCTCATTATTTTGAATGGAACTGATGGGTTTTAGGGATTTTATATAAAAGGACAGTGTTTATAAAGGAAGCACCATATGTGATGGGAAATACTGGTGTTAATTAGGGTAAGCAGAAGACTAGCCTTGCCTTGGATAGATGAAAGGTCCATCTAGCTCAGGACTGGGGGACCAGATGTTGAACTTCCAGCTCCCATCATCCCCAGCCAGCATGGCCATCCACCATGGATGGTGGGTACTTTGGTTCAGCAATGATGGGTGATGTAATACAGCAACTTCTTGAAGGCCATGGGCCCTACACCTCCGAACTCATTCATTTTCTGGCAGTGCTCAGCCAGATGCTTCCTGAGAACCCCCAAAACATGGCATGAAGACAACAACCTTTCCCCATTGTTTGGCTACCAGCAACTGGCACTGGAGAGGATACAAAGTTGAATCAAACTCAGAGTAGACCCGCTGAAATCAATGGACTCAAGTTAGTTATGTCCATTGATTCCAATCAGTCTGCTCTGTCATATATTTCTTTTACCTTAAGGGATCCCTTCCCAGAGTCCTCCAGGATATGTTTGTTCTATGTTCACAATGCAGGAAGCAGGCTCTAATTGGACTCTAACGATTTTGCACAGGCTGGGCACTAAGAATTAAAAAAAAAGTTCATCAAAACAAGTGTGATCCCATTTCTCACGTGCTCAACCTCTTTCTATAAAACTGTCTCCAAAGAAAGTCCTACAATAACCTGTACTGAAAAACAGTGTTTTTCTGGTTGTTCGTACAGATCTGATAGACACATACAGGATTGTTTTCCTTTCTTCCAGTAGGTAGACCTTTTACCTTTGGCTCTCAACCCAGAAATGTTAGAATGTCCCATCTATACTGTTGGTTTTACAGAGTTGCTCACAAAACATGTCCTGTTCTGCAATGGCTGACTTTAGTGCCATTGTTTCTGAGAGAAAGCGGGATATATTCTTGGTTTTCTCTTCTTGAGGCTTTTTCAGGATTAGCCCATTTTAACTTTAGGCTAAAATACTAACCTGCTGGTTTCAAAACACCATTGTGGGGAAAGCTGCTTAGAGAGCGTTGTCTTGGTTGAAAGAGACCCTCTATGGCTGCAGAAGTCTTTCAAGATGGCAGCCTCCACGGAGCAGGGGGTGGAATCACAAAGAAGGAGAAGAACAGGAAGTATCACAACAGAGATGGACCATAGGAGGCTCCATTGTCAGACCATTGCTCCATCTATCTCAGTATTGCCAGATCTAGTTGGCTGTAGATCATCATGGCTTTAGTAAAGAGTCTTTCCTAGCCTCCACCTGGGATCACCAGGGATTGAATCTTGGGTCTTTTGCATGCAAATTATGTTCTCTACCTCTGAGTCACCAACTAGTAAAAGTGGCTGCCTGATTCTCATTTGCTTTAAAACACACACCGAGTGTCTGCTGAATACCAGTGTCTCTCCTGCACATACTTTTTTTTCTTTCAGAAACATACTTATGCAAACTATCTATAGTATGCAAAGATGTTATAATTTTGATCAGCTGCTCTTGGCACAGAAACTGGGATCTTAGGGGAGGAGAACAGTGCATGCCTACTGCCCTGAACTGTAAAGTCCAGTTTGATACAGACTTCTCCATAGGGAGGAAATGAATCTAGGTAACTGGTGGTATGGGTTCGTTTTGTTTTTTAACAGTTGTTCACTCAGATAGTATGAGGCAATGAATAAGCTCCCACTGAACATAAACTGAAACCAGACTACAGTTCGCGACAGCATTTTAAATGTCAGTGATAGATCTGTTTTGAAGTCCTCCACAAAAACCCAAGCCAAAACCGCAGCAGAGGATCACCTGCAGAAAGCACCAGGCAGAGTGTTGGAATTTTGCTTTGGAACAGACATGCAGGAATTGGAGTGCCATATTTCCATGGAAGCTTGCAGAAAAATGCCCAGTTTAATTTAAAAGTCTGAAAAATATTTTTTTAAGGCTTAATATGACCTATGTGTGTCTCTATACTCATTTTCTCCCTCAGGTTAGGTGATGCAAGTAAATGTCAAATTAAAATATAAAATATGCACTTACAGGGGTGAATCTACTATGAAACATCTACTATGAAACAAACTAATCCTGGAAGGGCCCCGTAAGCAACTTTAGTACACATTGCTTACAATTTTTGGTCTAATACACCCAATCTGAGTCACACAACTCAAATGGATTACTTTTGTTGTTGTATATATTTCAATAATCCCAGAATTTGAGAGTCAGTAGCACAGATGTTGTAAAACTTTGGTGATCTATCATAGAGCAAAATCACTGAAGAAGATAATAAGGGATAATAAGGCTTACCCAGACCTCATGGCTGGTTGTGAAGGGGGCCCCATTACAGTTCAAGCTTCTGGGCCCCCAAAATGTAGGTCTGCCACTGTGCACATATAAAGCTGACTGATATTGATTCTGACCATCCAGCTAGTTCAGTGTTCCTTAACTGACAGCAGCGGTTCATGGACTCAGTCCTGCTACCACTTAGAGATAATGGGATCTGAACCTGGAATTGAAAAGATAGGTCTCTGAGGGGCAGTAGAATCTGCCCCCCCCCCAAAAAAAAAAACAACAACAACCCCACAAACATTTTCCTCTACCCTTTTCACCTCCTCAGCTTTCAGACACAGTCTTGTTGCACATACCCCAATCTCCAAGAACTCTAGGAGTGCCTGTGATTTTCCAGGGTTCCATTTCCTTGCAATGAAGGTGAGTGGAGACTGTGGTGTCTTTAGGCTATATGGTTTTCTTTGCACATATATATACAGCCTGAGCCTAGGATGGAAGAACATAACAACATAAGTCTAACCTGCTGAATCAGGCCAATAGCTCATCTAGTCTAGCATCCTGTTCTCATAGTGGCCAACCAGAGGCCTGTGGGAAACCAGCAAAGCAGAACAAGAACACAAGAGCACTCCCCCCTCCTGTGGTTTCCAGCAACTGGTATTTGAAAACATTGTTGCCTATAACTGTGGCGGTAGAGCGTCACCATCATGGCTAGCAGCCATTGATAGCCCTCTCTAGGAATTTGTCTAATCCTCTTTTAAAGCCATCCAAGTGGTGGCCACCTCTGAGTGAGTTCCATTGTTTGACTATGCACTGCGTGAAGAAGAACTGTCTTTCATCTGTCCTAAACCTTCCAACATTTGGCTTCGTTGCTCCCAGCACTAACACTCCAGCAGATGTTGCCTCCCCATCAGGTTTCAGGGAGGCCCCAAGCTACAGATTCGAGCCCAGCACAGCGCAAGATAAGCTCTGTGCTTCCTGCTTCCAGCGTCAGCCTGAACTCTCTCTCTCACACAGCTTCCCTGTCACTGCCTACCTATTGTTGTCCATCCTAGCAGGCGAAATATATTTTAAAAAATTTAAAAAAAATTGTCCAGTAGCACCTCAGAGACCAACTAAGTTTGTTCTTGGTATAAGCTTTCGTGTGCATGCACACTTCTTCAGATACCGAAAGCTTATACCAAGAACAAACTTAGTTGGTGTCTAAGGTGCTACTGGACAATTTTTTAATTTTTATATATATTTCAACTGTGTCAGACCAACACGGCTACCTACCTGAATCATCCTAGCAGGATGTGTCATCCAGGCAGGTGAGATGGAAAAAAAGGCCCACTCATATGTCTCTATGGCAACAGAACAACCTCTTTGGATATGTAAATCTTTAAAAGAAACTGGTCCGACTGATTTAGCAGGTTTCCTCATATAGATTGTAAACTCACAGGATCACAGGTTTGGAAGGAACCCATAGGTATCACCCATACTGACCCTCCAAACCTATAGCAGTATATTAAGATCCTATACATACTTTACTTTTTTAGTTACTCAGATAGTCATACATCAGCTGCAACCTAACAGGTATTCTGTGATTTGGCCTGTTATCAATATAACTCAGCATCACCATTTGTATCCTTGGAAGTTATAGTAATACCTACAGCAGAAGACTGCCAAAGGAAAAATAAGCTGTGTGAATTAATCTAAAGTCATACTTTGTTATCTGTTATGTACCCATATGGTATTTTAGCAATCGGTCTGCTAATTAAAACAAGCATCCTGAAATATGCATGGTACCTGTATTGATTAGAGCTGGAGGCCAACCCTCAGGAATATGCGACAGCAAATCGAAATCTATCCCTCCTTCTCAGGCATAGTCCAGCTCCAACCATCCTTTTACTTCCAAGCAAGCAAATCTGCAAGAACTCTGGTGCACGATATCAGGGGACTTAAACCTACGGAGGGACCATAAAGTTAAAAAGTCCCAGTTAATCAATGAGAAATTTAGTACTTGTTGCTACAATTACAAAGATAATAGTTCCTTTATGTCAGTGCCTTTGGTTCTGCAGCTGTAAAATAGCTTTTAAATTCAGCATTTTCAAGTAACAGAAATTAATAGGAGGTCATTTCTACCAGAGAAATTTTAGGGGCCCATCCTCTCTAATCATCATTAAAAACTAAATCCACAGGAGAAGAGGCACTTTACTGATTGTCAAGTGGAAGCTATTATTCATTTGATGAAGCTCTTGGCACCATGCCATTTATTCTGCTGTAGAGCCTGCTGGTTGTTCTACTTCATCTCTTGCAATCAAGGTTGTTTCTGCCTGCCAAGAGTTATTTATAGAGCGAACAAAAAAAAAACATTAAAGAAAAGGGAAAAAACCCTCCAATGCATTTTCCAGGGTTCAAACAAAAAACAAAAAGAACCATCACACAAACCCAACAAACTTTCAGACTTTGCAATTGAACAATTGTTACTTTTTATTCCCACCATCATGGCATTCTTTAAGTCCAAAGATTTTTTTTTAATGGAACCCGAACTATGTATGTTAGCATAGCCTAAAGAGAAAGCAACCTTCCCCAACTTAGCGCCCACCGGATGTTTGGGACTACAACTCCCATCAGGCTGTGCTGGCCGGAGGACACACAGTTGGGAGAAGGTAGCCTAGAGCCAATTCACATTTGCATCTACAGCATGCATTTAAAGTCCCCTCCCCCCCAAGAAACCTGAGAAAAGTCACAGAGGCTTAATAAACAAGTGATTCAGAGAAATGAGAAGGTGAACTGAAAGAGAGAGCGGACAGAGAAGAGAGGTGCAAAGCACCAAGAATGGAAGAAAGCTGAATTTCTAAGTAACCTTCAAATTAGTTTCCATGCAGGTAGTGATTGGCTGAGATGGAAACCTGAATCCTCTAGTCCAGGGGTAGCCAACACGACTGCTTCCTGGTGTTTCTGTACTACAACTCCCATTGTCTCCTATCATTAGCCATGTTGGTCAGGGCTGCTGGGAGCTGTAGTATAAAACATGTGGACAGTGCTCTGCTCATACCACACCTGTCACAACTGTGGTAAGGCAAGTTAATCATGCTGTGCTCTAAGGTGATGTAAGATTGTAACTACTTTCAGTACATCAGTCACTTGAGTCAATGGCTCAGTAGTCTATGGGACAGTGCACAAGTCCCCTTCAGCCCTGCCTCAGTTCTTTGTCACAAAATGACTTTTCTCCTGATTTCCAGTTATTTAGCAAGACCCCCAAACTAAGGGATGCAGAGAAAGCAGTGAGGCTATCTGCACTCTCTCTCTTATACTGATACAAAATATTAACTGGTGTGATATACATAGGGATGTAAGGAGGCAGCGATTTCCATCTTGCTCTGTGGTTGTCACAGTCAGCGCAGTTTCCATTCCAATGCAATTCAACTTCTGATAAAACCTATGTTATTGGTATGGCCGAAACTAACATAATTAACTATCTAATTAAGTATGCCCTTAACTTCAGTGCATTTCAATGGAAAGGAAACATCAAAAACAACGAAGAAAACGAACACAACTATTTATATAGCATTTGTGGAGTTAAAAGAAAGAACGGTAGTCAAGTATTTTTCACGTTTGCTTGCACAATTTCCATTCCTGACCTTGGGCAAACATGTGAATTGTTGCAATTTCCACTCGCATTTCCATTTCTGATGGAATTCTCCAGCACCCTTAGAGATAAGGGGAAAGACCTCTAAAACAGATTAAAGTCACTGTAGGATCAACTGTCATTGCCAGGCAATCTGCCTCTCCTCCATGAATGCTGAACAATTGTTACCCAATTTCCCGACTTTTTAAATATATAATAAGCAAAATTCAGCAGGGCCCTCTTGATTTAATGAAATACCGTGAATTATGCATTTGCATAATGACAAGTGCCAGCGGTAAGGGTTTCTATGAGCATGCAAATTGTATGTAAAAACCTAATTTGCGCATGATGAGACACCCATTTCCTACCATATATGAAGAGATAGGATAATTTCAGGGTGGCATTTTTCAGCATGGTACCTTTCCTGTGTGCCAACCACATGATAGCTTGATCACACACACACAAAAAGGCTGCATCTACCATCAGTCATTGTTCTATCTACAACACAAAAGCAGATGGATAAAATGTGGAAAATCATGTGTGGTTTGGGGAGATATTAATCCAAATTGGTTTTCCCGCTGGACCCAGTGCCAAACCCTGGACACCAGAATTGATTCTGCTGAACAGCAAAATACCACTCGTTAACTTGACTGTGGTTTAATAATTACACCTCTTCCTAGGGATGTGATTAAACCACACACAGCCCTGGAAAACAGAGGGAATGAAGTCAATACGCCACAGAGTCTAAAAGCCAACATATGTGGATTGCACAAGAAAGTAGGATCAGATGTTTGAATATATTATACATAGCAGGAGCTGCTGAATAGTTAAGACCAAGCCAGGAAGGGGAGGGGGGCATTTATGTTGTTTTCTGAAAATTAAATCCTTCTAAAATGCTTCTTAGACCAATAAAACAAAAGACGTAGAGAACTAGAAGCTTGAATGGTCTTTTATTTTTCCTAGCCTGTCAGTTTTGTTGAGACTGGGTTTAAAAACAAACAAACACCTGAATGTATTTTTAGTATTTCTGTTGGTTTTCAACACAAGGTGGTTTGTTGGTGTTTTAAAAGGAAAAGAAAGAGCTTTCTCAATGGGGAAAAGTTGCCTGGTAGCATGGTGGCATTCCATTCAGATAAGGGTTAGATGTAGGAACAACGATTGCTGTCTGCAGGAAAACATCATTAAAAAGTAAAGTGTGTAGGCACTGACGTGCTTTAAACATCTGCTGCAGCTTAAGACCATTTCACCATCCGCTGTGTAGCCACCATCAGAAGTAAATGCCCCAACGTTGTTGGTTTTCAGCATACTTTTCCTCTGTGTGTCTTTTGGGCACCTTCATTCTCTCTCTCTCCTTCATGGCCACCAGGCATGCCCAAGCTTTGAGGGTTGGGAACTTGCTGCATCTTAGAATCACTGCACACACTCGGGGTGTGAATGAAGCGCCTCTGCCATACCTCTCCAGCCCAGGGATGGTGTGCGGTGGAAGAGGTCTCCTAGGTTTCCTCTGCACTTGCTGGACCATTGGCATGCCAAGGAAAATGCCAGGTGGAAGGGAGCATATCGTTTTATGTGTCTTTCTTTGGAGGAAAGCGTATCCTCTTAGGTGTCACCCAATACTCCTGCTTCACCTGATATTTTCCAAGGGGAAGACCAGATAGGTCAGTGTGCATTGGACACTGTGGGCCAGATGAAATTTGGCCATGGGGTGCATCCAACCTGCATGCTGTTGGGGGGGGGAAGGTAAATGATCCACTCACCTCAGGGGTAAATAATCGACTAAAATAAGGAAAGAGCTACTACAGGACCTTTTTATGATCTCAGCATAAATTATACTTCCTAGGCAAATCTCTTTTGACAATTTTCATTTGAGACACCCCCAGGGACCACCCTTGACATCCACCAAAACCTTCTGCCTCTCCCCATTTTTATTTGTATTAGATGTGGGGTTTTCATTTTGCTGCTTGAGGGATTGCCTATCTTTTTAGGGGGTGTTATCTGCATCTAGTGAACCAATATTGATGTTTATTAATGAATTTATTGTAAGGAAATACTACCTACTAAACTAATACATTTATTATGTCACTAAGCTGCTGCATTTGTTATTCCATATGAATATATTTCATAAACAAATATATTTATTATTTCATAATATGTAACACCCAAACTCATGATTCACAACACATAATTCATAAACATTTATTGTGTCATATTCAACTAATACACATAGCGCGTCACTTTTCTATACTCATTACTTAAATACTCTGTGTGTACCTCCTGTAGGGTTGCCACCTTTGTTCTGGCAAAATACACAACAGGTTGGGGTGGGGCAGTTGGGGGTGAATTATTTTTTTCATCTGGGGCTGAAGTGACTTCAGAGCAATCCTTTACAATCTATTGCAGCCTAACAGGATGGCCCTCTGGAATCTGTCACACACATGTACACAAGAATGCAACACATACACATGAATTTGTAAATCTGTCTGTGATTGGCTACCCAGAGCCAATGACCTTTCACACACCCCTTCAAATACATGCAGTTGGAGAGGATCCCTAACTTGGCAGAGAGAGAGAGAGAAGACTTGAAATACAGAACAAACTGTATCAATAC